CGACAAAAATATTTTTCGAATAAAATACGGTTCTGATGAAATATTTTTCTACTAAAATACGGTTCGGATAGTATATTTTCGACAAAAATATTTTTTGGATAAAATACGGTTCGGATAAAATATTTTTTTTTGTAAATATTTTCTTATAGTATATTTTTCGGGTAAAATAAGTTTCGTAAAAAATATTTTTGTCATTACCATGGTGTTAATAGATAATATATGATATAATACGTACCATGGACCAGTTAACACCGTTATGTAGGTATACATGAGATGCCGGTATATTGACTGAAAAGTTAATAACAATATTACGTAGTAATATGGTATTAGTAATGCATCATAATGCATTTTTAAATTACAATAAATACCAATAGTTAGGGAGCGTATATTTGTAGGTTTTTACATATATATGTTGGCTTTATGTTGGTCAACTGGGGTAAATAATCTGGATAACTTATTCAGTATTTTATTTTATAATTAGATAAAAATTATTTGACATGTTTAAAGACATTTTAAAGATTAAAGAATGAAGTAAATATTTCATATTTAAGAATATATTATTATATAATTTGTTTATAAAAAAGTCATATTGGTTATTTTCTCTGCAATTTAAAATATTTTGTCACAAGAAAAAAAAATTTTTAATTTAAAAATGAAAAGTGATATAAATTATACTAAATTCTAAAGACGCCTACTGCTATATTCTATAAATTATTATATGATTTGTTTGTAAATGAATTAATTTTTTCAAGTTTTAGCATACAGTAAAGTTATTACATATGTTGTACAATAAATAGATGGTAAATATTATGAATTTGTAGAGTTTAATATTACCTTATACTATATTAGTAACGGTGGATGTGGCTATTCCTATGATATGAGTCATTAATAAAATTTTCATTGAAAATAGAATTAAAAAAACGACGATGGCTTACCAATAAAAAATGATTATCGACATTAAAGAGTTACGTTTTGTGCAATATTATGTATATTGTTTTTGTAATAATCAGTTAATGTTAAGTTTTGAGTTAGTAAAGTAAGTTAAAGATGGTAAATTAGTTGTCACTAATATTTAGAAACAACGGAGTACAACATAGATGAACCTACGTAGTTTTTTTATTGTATTTCATAATTATTCCAATATTAACCTATTACTATGTATTTAAAATTTCCAAATCAGCGTAGTAATTTTTTATAAACAGATACTTTTTTAACTTATTTTTTATATCATAAATGTACTGAAGAATAAAAATACTGGTCTTTATATGTATCAGTTAAGTTGTGATTTTTAAAATATTCTGTTTAAAAGTAAAAATTGATTTTGTACAATTTGGAAGTATGAGTGTATCACATTATTTTTTTAAAGTTGTTTTCGACCAATAATGAATAAATATAAGACTATATATATTATATAGGTACCTAATATACATTTGATGGAGGTATGTAATTTTATATTTTACGTATATTTCATTGTGAATAAAATTGATTTTTTTTTATATTATCTTTTGTTTTTATAAGATTTATGAATCTACAGCTAATATACCTATGCTTGATTTCGGGTACAATATTAAAAATATATGCATTTGTATATTTGATTTGTGGCCTTTTAACTAAGAATTGAAATGCACACAAATATTGTATGAGAATCTACAACCTACCCAGGAATTTTGAATAAGGTGTTGGGATGTGGTGGATAGATGTTATGAGTAATAATCAGGGTTGGGATTGTATAGCACCAAAAACATGTGCTATAATTGTACTTTAAATATCTCAAAACATATGCTAAAGACATGCAAGGTTAAAAACAACAAAATATGCAACAATTGGAATATGAAAACAAAGTTATAAGCAAAAGTTAAGAAGTGACAAAGAATAACAAAAACACAAAAGTATTCTAAGTAGGAGTACGCTAATCGAGAAGTTGACTGTATAATTATAATACATATATTATATTTTTGTATATACCTTATACTTTCAAGTTTCAACATTAAATTGATGATAACAGGTATAAATGGCAAAAAAGGAGCCCATAAAAATTAGCAAATGACTAAAGTTTAATTTCAAAAGCAAATAGATCCCCAACACGAAATTATGTGTTATCTTACACACATATGACACTAAACTTGCATTCACCAGTTTCAATAGTGTTCTGTTAGTCTTGATAAGAGAGTGAATTGATCTATTATCAAACTTTTAGGTCCGAACATTATATGTGTTTTGTCGTTGTTTTTTACGTTATTTTAATTTTTAAGGGAGTTATGTGTATGTAAAGTATTAGTATTTGAAAATGCTCATAATTCACTTACAAATTATGTCACGAACATCAAGGTGCTCAATTTAACTGATCAGACGCACATGTATGTTGCTTACAGGCAGCTGATATTGCATGAGCTGACTTATAAAAACTCTCTGATGTAGATATTGCCACATCAAAACCAAACATTTTTATGATTTTAATCATACAATATAATAACATTGAACAAAATAGTTCGACACATTCTTCTTGTCCTTAATAGTGGGTTATTAACGATCAAGTTGGAAATTGTCACTTGAAAGCGTGTATGGAAAGCAACCCAGATGTGTATTGCTTTGATACACATTTTTCATATTTTATTTATTTTTAACAAATGAAATCTCAGTCGTTTGAACAATTCATATGTTTATATTTAATTATATAATCTGTCTACTCAAGGAAGCTTATTTTAAATATAAGATGTGTTTTTTATTCATCTTATTACTAACCATGCAAGTGAAATGCATTCATGTACACATATAATATATACGTAGTATAATATACAAGTCTTTGCAAGTTAACTATTTTTTCTAACTCTTTAAGTTAAGTTTAAGATTAAAAGTTATCTTTATTTTTTTTTCACTTGTAAAAGTAACAAGTTAATTAGACAATAAAAGTAACTTAACTTAGTTAAAAATGAGTTAAGTACTTTATTTTAACTATAAAATTAATAATTATACCTACCCTACCTTTTTTTAAAGCTAACAAAAACAATAATTCAATAAATGTCTTACAATGTTTAAGTAAATTTTTGTATTAAAGTTAGTTACTTATTTATATATTAACTTTAATGAATGGTGAAATCTAAGTTTGTTAAAGTAAATGGTCCACAACTATACTAAATATTATAATAATCAAATTCATTATTATTTATTAGAATATAATTAATTGGTCACACAATATATAAAATCAAATATTATTCAATTAATATTTAATAGTGAGAATACAATATTTAATCAAACCATTATTGTTGATTACGATAGCTCAATGCTTAATTTAATAAAACAATAACATTGAATTAATATTATTTCTCTTTATTCGCTAGTTCATAATCGAATATTAATATTGAACGGCTACGACGAGTACGTTACACTGGTACGGTTTTATTGCGACTGCGACGGCCGATCGCCCGTCATCGAAGACCGCTCTATCGGACGTATCTTATCTTACATTTATACTCAGATACTCTATACAAATAATCGTTTCGGTATCTACCAATTTTATTATATAAGTAAAATATCTCGCGTACGCAACATAGCCGCCCACCTTGAAATATAAATAATATTTCAACAAATTGAACAATAAAAATTACAAATTCGATAATAGAATAATTAACATACATTACAAATAATTTATAAAAAAAAAGAATAAACAAAATATAATAAATTGACTAATAACAACAACCTGATACGGTAATAGTTGAACAAATATAATTTAATGTTACTGAATAAATAAATAAATAAAACATAAAAAAGATTTTTATTTAATATTGATTGTTGTCGATTGGTAGCGGACAAAGTAGACGAGCTGCCCTTGTAATTTCCCCAAATTTCGTCTTTACGGACGCCGACCGACTTATTCCGTCCCTTCCTGCATGGATTTGGAGGACCCGACCGAGACGCCACTGCAAAGGGGGCAAATTTGTGTCTCGTATTAACACCACAGATCCTATCTTTAAATTTGGCCCCTTTGATTGAGTCCATTTTACACGCTCCTGTAGTTGACCCAGATACTCTGTACTCCAGCGCTTCCAAAGTAGTTGTGAATATTGGGTAACCTTTCTCCAACGCTCCAACGGCGTCACGGAAGTAGCCGTTTCATCCCTTTCGGGTACGGCGGTAATAGCATCACCGATTAAAAAATGACCAGGCGTTAAATAGGAAAGATCGGATGGGTCGGAAGACAGGGAGGTAATGGGACGAGAATTTAAGCATGCTTCTAACCGAGTCAGTACAGTACTCATATCTTCGTAAGTTAAGCGAGATTCACCTAACACCTTAGATAACAAATTCTTCATCGACTTAACCGCCGCCTCCCACAGGCCACCGAAATGTGGAGATCGTGGTGGTATTAACTTCCACTCCACCCCTTTCTCCGCGAATGTTGCACAAACTGTGTTTTGATGTTGATCGGATTGAAATAAATTATATACATCTCGAAGCTGTCTGCGAGCGCCCACGAAGTTTGTCGCGTTGTCCGAGTATATGACCGCGCACCTTCCGCGACGGTCGAAAAACCGGTTTAACGTTTGCAAAAACGTCTTTGTCGTTAGATCACTGACTAATTCTATGTGTATCGCTTTAGTAGCAAAACACACAAATATAGATATATAGCCTTTATCGCACGGCGCGTTTCGCCGTAAACTTGACTTTATCAGTATGGGACCGGCAAAATCGACTCCACATCGCGAGAATGGCCGGCTGCACGTAATTCGATCGCGTGGTAAGTTACCCATTATTGGCTGTACTATTATAGGTTTTTGTTTAAAACACGTAATGCAACTATGCACAATCTTCCGTGCTATACTGCGTGCTCCTAAGGGCCAATATCGTTGCCGAATGGCTGCCACGAGGGCCTGTGGACCACTATGCAATAAATTTACGTGCTCACTTTGAAATAATAATCGCGTATATGTACTGTCACGAGGAAGCACAATTGGGTGTCGCTGAAATTCACTTAACTCAATTGCATTTGCCAAACGTCCTCCTACGCGTAATAGACCTTTCTCGTCACAAAAGGGTCGTAATCGTATCAGCACACTATTGCCAGCTACTTGCGCCTTCTGTGATTTAAGTTCATTTATTTCTTTTTGGAAATGTTTTTTTTGTATCATTTTAATTAACGCCAAATTTGCGTATTCTAATTCATTTACGTCTAACGGCCCGATGACACGTTTTGTGCGACTCTTTAGTCCGTTATTTCGCCAACGTAAACAATACGCCGTTATTCGGATAATCTGTTTTAATGACGAACGAGTAGTCAACAGTGGAAAATCCAATGATAACGTACATATGAGATTATGCGTATTTGACATTGTGTGACTCCTTTCTTCGGGCATTTTTTCTACTTCGGATTTATCAACATTTGTCGGTTTCGGCCACATACTGGCGTCTTTAATTAACCATTCCGGGCCGCACCACCAAATTGATTTTTTTTCGATGTCCTCGGCATTGCACCCGCGCGAAATTACGTCCGCCGGGTTGTCGTGAGTGGGGACGTGTGACAATTCGTTGCACGCGGTTAACTCTTGTATTTCGCCAACGCGGTGTGCGACAAATGTCTTCCATCGACCTGATGGTGACGTTATCCAAGCCAAGACCACTTTAGAATAGGTCCAAAATCGACGTCGATCAATTTTTAAATTTAATTTTGGTATTAGTTTATTACTCAATCGGGCTAACAGTAAGGCGGCGCACAGTTCTAACCGCGGCAAAGACACTATTTTTAGCGGAGCAACCTTCGACTTGGCGCATATTAAGTTTACGTCCGTTTCTCCGTGTCTACCCGTGGTTCTTAAGTATAAACACGCGCCATAAGCCTTCTCGGACGCATCCGCGAAACCGTGTATTTCCGCACTAACTACTATTTCGGTTGAAATTATTTTTCGTGGTATTCTTAAATGATTTAACGATGGTAATCCGCCTCGGTATCCTTGCCATTCTGCACAAATATTATCGGGTAATACGTCATCCCAATTAATCTTTAATTGCCATAAACTTTGCATAATTATTTTGGCGATTATAATAACAGGTCCGAGTAACCCTAACGGATCAAATATCGTTGCGATTTCGGATAATATTTTCCGTTTAGTTATCGGGGCATTGACCTCCACCTGCTGTACCGTGTAAAATAACATAACATCATCTGATTTCCAATGCAAGCCTAGTATTTTTGTCATTAGTTCGCCCATAGCTCATATACTATTGTTGTCGGTATGCACGTCGACTATTAACTCCGGGTCATTAGATAACCATTTACGCAGTTCTAAACCGGCTTTACTCATAATTGAAATTAGATTATCTCGTAATTTTATCGCACCGGTTTTGGACATTGCACCACCTAGATAGTCGTCCATATAGAAATCTCTAATAATTGATTCGCCCACCTCCGGACAACTGTCACATTCCGTTTTTGCCAATTTTTCGAGACATGCTGTTGCCAAGTATGACGCCGGAACGGTACCGTAGGTCAGTGTATTAAGTCGATATACATGGATCGGTTGTGTCGGTTCAGGTCGCCATAACACACGTTGAAAATCTCGCTGATCCTCAACAACTAAAAATTGGCGATACATTTTTGTGATATCTGCCGTAAATACATAATTATAAGTACGAAAGCGTATTAATATATATATTAAATCGTCTTGAATAGACGGACCTTTGAGTAATATATCGTTGAGACTAACGCCCGTATAAGTTTTACATGACGCGTCAAATACGACCCGTAGTTTTGTCGTCGTACTACTGTCGTTACGCACGGCGTGGTGTGGAATATAATATTTGCCTTATTCGTCTTTATTTTCGATTTCCTTATCGATTCGTTCCATATGTCCCAATGCTTCGTATTCTGACATAAATTTTACATAATCTCGTTTTAATTGTGTATCTTTTTGTAATCGTTTTTCTAATAATAAAAATCGCCGTTCAGCAATATTGTACGACTTGCCCAATTTTGGCGCATTTGTTTTAAACGGAAGTTGAACTATAAATCGACCGCTTTCACTCCGACTTATATTTTTGTTAAAATGTGCCTCGCATTCCTTTTCTTATTTTGTATACACTGATTTTGGTTCATACTCTTCCAATTTCCAAAATTTTGTAATCGATTGTTCTAAATTTGTTTCTTTATTATCGGTTATCGATAGATTTACCGCACTCGCTGCCCATCTACCTGAATTAATTACGTTATCTGCGGGACCCGAGACTACCCATCCAAAACGAGTTTCTTGGAATATCGGTCCGCCTGCCATCGGTTTTAATTGTCCCGTACGTAATAATTCGAAAAAGTAACCCGCACCAATTAACAAGTCAATTCTTCGTGGTGTATTAAACCATGGGTCAGCCAATTTGATATCAGGAGGAATCAAAATATTATTTTTTATTAATTTTGACGGCAAATTATTAGTTATACGCTTCACTACCAAACACGTGGCTGTTAATGTAAATTTTCTGTCTTCGGCCGCCATTGTTGCAACCACCGCCGACGATGCCTTTTGTGTGCTACCACCTATTCCGCATAAATCATGCTTCACATGCCTCTTTTTTAACTTTAAAAGCTGTACCATTTGCTCTGTTATCAAATTACTTTGGGAACCAGAATCTAAAAGTACGCGTCCCGGGACCCATTGCCCTGATTCGCTGCGCAATGATACCATTGCCGTCGACAGTAATACCTTGTCGTCCTGTATAACCGATGTATGCGCGCTTAACGATGTTGATGCTTCAATTACTTCACTTGTCGATACATTTGCGACTGTTGACTGAACTGTTGTATTATCTTCGATTACTGTATTTCTCCCTCCTGACAGGTGCAATAGCGTGTTATGCGCTTTAGCGCATTTAAAACAGAATTTTGCATTGCATTTTTTACTCTCGTGTTGGCGTAAACAAATTTTACATAACTTCAACTCTGTTACGCGTTTTATTCGCTCTGGTACGGTCAAACTATAAAATTTAGGACATTTATAAATCGTATGTGCCGATTTACAAACGTAGCATTCTAAATTTGACGTCGACGCGAATAATTGTGACGTTCCTCTTTTTTCGATATATTTTTTTTCGTTTGATGTCGTAATTGTGCTACCTTTAATATTTATATTTTTCACGGCTTCAATTGATTCCAAAATTTTATACCTTGACTCTAAAAATTTAATTAATTCTAATAATTTTGGCACTTCAGTACCGTGCGCTCTCGATTCCCACTCTTTTAATGTAGTCTTATCTAATTTAATTAATATTACATGTATTAGTAGTGGTCCCCAATTTGTGGGTTTTTGACCCAGCGCCTCTAACGCACGCATATGTCCATTTAGTGCATCTGTAAACTGTCTTAATTTTTTCGCCGAGTCGCCGCCCACCGTTTCGAGATCATA